TGCATCATCCACCTGTGGCCTTACTCCCAAGTTGACCCCTGTTCTTTAGCTGTTCCCTTCGTCTGGCCGCTCTGCGCATGTGCACACTGGGACGAGGCTCCAGCTGTTTGTCTGCCTCACTGATGTCTGACTCTGAAGGCAGCTGATAACTGGCATATGACCCTGGCCCCCTCTCTGCCTCCGACACAGAGCCCTCATCAGAGCCTTCCCCAGACTCCAGGACTGGCCCATATTCCTCCCCAATCTCCTCAATGTCCGAATCTGCTGCCAGCTCTGCTGGCTGCTGGTAGGCCACAACAAAGAGTGGATTGGGTGGCCATGTAAATTTTCTTAAATAAAATGTTCTTAAATAAATGAAATGTTACTTAGTTGAAAAATTGGAGATGGCCCCAATACAATTTCCTTATAAAATAATGCAGCTCCTTCATTTTTACATCTTTGATAATTGCCAGCTTAGAAATGAGTTTTTCAGCTAATGTTGATGATAATATCCATGCCTAATCTTAAAGTGAAGACGCAATGGGTGCAATGCACATAATAGGCAAATTACACTGTTGGTGGCACAATCTTGGCCTTTTTGAGCAGATCTGCTTTGATTCACACATTAAACACATCAAGCCAACCGTTCTGTGGTTAGAATGTACAGGAAGTCTTACACGTCTCTATTGCTCCAAAATGTTCTGTTGGGTCAAAGTATACATTGCAGTATATTATTTGTATATGATTAGATTCACTTTTGGAGGGGGGAGAGGAGGGGGTCGGAGGGGAGGGAGGGAGGGAGGGAGGGAAGGAAGGAAGGAAGGAAGGAAGGAAGGAAGGAAGGAAGGAAGGAAGGAAGGAAGGAGCGAGCACTGGCATCACAAAGGAGAAATGCTATAATTTAATCATTGTCCTAATCACATTCTATTGTTCCAGGAGTGTCTTTAATAACTTTGGGATCCTTGATGCTCTCTGAGATTGGTTGCGCTCAGTTTGAGAGCAAACCCCTCTCTCTTCCAGCACTACTCACGTTATCTACCCTGTTTCCCTGAAAATAAGACCTCCCCGGATAATAAGCCCAATTGGGCTGTTGAAGGCATGCGCTAAAATAAGCCCTCACCAAATATATTGCAGCACAGCAGCAGCCATGGGGTGACCACACTCGCCGCCTCCTGCACCTCAAAAGTAATAAGACCTCCGCAAAAATAAGACTAAGCGTTTATTTCGGGGGTTAAAAGAAAATAAAACCCTGTCTTATTTTCTGGGAAACACAGTAGTTTGGTAATGAAATGTCTGAAAGAAAATAATCAAGCTCAGAGAGAGCCAAGGGTCCCATACTTCAACCTGAACTACAAACATTCTCTTCTATCGGTTTCTGTGCCTTTCTTTGCTATGGAAAGTATTACTACAATTAAACCAAATTAAGTTATTAATGAAACTGAAAACACAAGATGTATATATGGTTTGTTGTTAAATTGAAAAATTTGCATAGAGGGTTAAACAATTGTATCTAGGTTAATTCATTGCTTAATTTTCTTCTTTTTTTCTCCCCCAGATGCAGACAGGGTGGATAGCACAACAGTTTTGGGTAAAGTATAGCCTTCCACATATTTCTTCAAATTTCAAATGGTGATAATCTCTTGGTATTATTAGTTGGGCAATCACTCTCACCTTATCAGAACCATTGAGCCATGTGAATACTTGTGGATTGGGGGTGGGGGGAGCTCTTTCAATAGAGCCAGAATGAAAATGATGCCGTTTTCACAAAAACCATTCATGTTGTTGCACATATGATGTGGGTCATGTGTCTTCTTGCAGGGCCCCCGTGTGCAGATTGCACAAAAAGGAGGTTAGGAGAGAGTGGGAATGACCGAGCGAAGAAGGCTAGACACCCGAAGGATGGTAATTATCATTCCCAATCCTTTTTATTTTGAAGAAGACATATCACACAGTCCTATATCTATCTTGGCAACGTGGAGCTGGAGAAAAGCTTCAACGATACGAAGCACCTGATTTCTCTGAATGCCAGGTCTCATTTAAATTAGGAAGAACTGCCAGGGCTTCTACGAATTTTCTTGCCACATTTGTTAAGTGAATCACTGCAGTTGTTAACATGAATAAGTTATTAAGTGAATCTGGCTTCCCCGCTGATTTTGCTTGTCGGAAAGTTGCAAAAGATGATCACATGACTGCAAAATTGTAACCGTGGTAAATGTGAACCAGTTGTCCAACATCTGAATGTAAATCATGCGACTATGGGGATGCTGCAACCGTCTTAATTATGAAAAATGGTTGTCACATTTTTCATCGCTGTAACTTTGAACAGTCACTTAACAAACTGCTGTTAAGTCGAGGACTACCTACACTGGGCAGCTAGAAAGGCATCTGTATGTATTTAGAAAGCCGCCTCTGAGTTTATTTTTAGGAGGGCTGGGCAGCTCATGCTTTACTCCTTAGCCTTATCCACACTGAGCTGTGGGGACCATTGTACTATGTCTTTTGTAGCATGCCTGAGGTTTCCTCAAGTGTTGTATTGCCATTGTCCAATATTCATTAGTATTTCTCACAGCAACACTTCCCTTAACAGGGGTCGTAATAATGGTGTGAGAAGTATCGAAGTGATTTAGCCATCTGTGCAATACTGTTAAAAGAGTTTGGTATTTGATCGGTCCAACATTTATTTATATAAATAAACTCTTGGGGGGGGCGTCATCATAGGTCAAGATCCATCCACACTTACCTTCTGACGTGTGTTAGGAACAGCCAGGACTATTGCACAACAGTGACATACTGAAGGAATGGACAATGTGTGTGTCTGTACACAGAGAGAAAAACACATTAAAAAAAAAAACGTTAAGTAGTGAATGATTGTTTTGAAAGTCCAAGTAACTCTTTTGTAGATTTTGCAATTCTCTGCCAGAATTGCATAATGTTGACCTACTTACTGATTATTCCGTTTGGCTTTTGGGTCATTTTGCAACTGACCTTTTCCTCCTTTTGTAAGTCATGAGTCATGTGAATAGCTTCATGCCTTGTTTTGTACAAAAAGAAGAAAACAATACACTGGGTTCTGGGCTGAGTGTCGCTGTTAAGGGGAGGAGATATTTTCAAAACTTCGATATTCCTTATCCCATTCTAATGGGGGGGGAAATTGATTGAAGGAGCACTCAGTGGTTGGAGATGAGTGTCGGGAGATAGAATGAATTTTGAGCCTGCACATCTAATTCATTAAATTTGGCTTGGCTTGATTGAGAGCACTTCTTTTTCCTATGGTTATGCATGATAACCTATTTTAAATCATGTGGGCCGAGATGGACAAAACTGACTTTTATGTTGTTTTAAACAGATGCTGCTGAAGATGGTGTCCTTCTGTGACTATATCAGACCAGTCTTCGAGAAACTTCTCCTTACTTTGGCCATTTGCATCTGCTGGGAGTCAAATAATGGATAGGTGTAGACTTCTTACAAAGTCTGCTTGGGAGGGGAGATCCTTATAAATATCACATCCAATAATTCAAATTTCATAGCTGTTCTTGGGGGAAGAGCAGATTTCTAAATATGTCAGGGATGAAATCTTGGAAAAGAGGGAGCTATGGCCTATGAAATGGCATTTAGTTTTTAACTTTGGACTCCCTTCATCTTATTTCAATCCATGCACTGTAAGTTAAAACACAGGACGCCTGTTCCTTCCCCTGAAGGGCTACGTGACACCTGGTGAGAGGAAAAAGGCACACAATCTGAGCACATTCCATGTGTCTAGGCAAAGAACTCTTGAATTTTTCCTAGATAGTACTGGGAGTTCTCATGCAGGCAGTTGCAAAGGATCAGTGGCTAAATGCTAGTGGTGTTTCTGAATCTTAGTAACTTGAAGACGTGTAGACTTCAACTCCCAGAATTCTTCAGTTAGCAAGGTGGGAGGAATTCTGGGAGTTAAAGTCCCCATACAGTGTCTTAAAGTTGCCAAGGTTGATAAATACTGTGCTAATGTAACAAAGTATATACATTTTGCAAGTTCTTGAAGAAAAAAACTTGAACAAAATGAGAACATGTATTTGTGTTAATTTCTTTGTACTTGAATAAATAAATTCATATATAATTCAGAGATGTTCTGTTGTCGTCTATTAGATCTGAAGAAACCAACCATTAAAAGTTGATGAACTGATATAAAGCATAATGCATCCTTTACCAATGTAATGTCATGTAATAAAAATCTATTAAGGTATAATTAAATTTATGTCAATATGAAATTAGATGGTAAATTTCACTCCAGCTTGCAATAAAGTTTAGCTCTCCATATAGAAAAGACTCATAGCAGATACGAAACTTGATATCTGAAAGCTAGAATTGTTTTACTTAACAATCTTCAAATGCAAGTGTATACAGTGGACGTTCTACATCAAGAACTATTATTTGAAATCTCCAATCAGTACGTTACACTATAGATGTTCATCTGAAACTAGATTAGCATTCCCTTGAAATGCCGCAATTGGTGATCAGAATGATAGGCAGTTACGACGTATATGCAGGTATTTCTAATATCACCCCAAAGCCCTGATCAAATAAAAAATGCACAATTAAAAGACAGAACTAATACACAAAAGCAACCAAAGCCTTATAGCCTTCTATACTGCCCTTCCCTATATAGTACTTAAGTCTTTATCCTACTGCTTTAGTCTCTCTGATAGTTTTATATGTGTTGGCAATATGTACGTATGTAGGATCTTTCAGGTTAATGATGAAACTACAACAAGAAAAACAATAGAAAGTCTTTTCTTCAATCTCCTCTTTTTTTGCTTTTATTACAACATGTACTACTATTCCTTTGTTTGAATTTCTAGTTTGGGTCTCAGGTACTGCAGATATGAACAATCAACGTTCACCCCCCAAAAGTATACTTGAATGACATAATACAGAAAGTTTACCAGTTCTACATTAAGTATTTCATGGCATTGTTTTAAACTGAAGTAAGTGATTTAGTAACTACACATTTAACCAGTGCAACAGGAATCATATAACTTTATCTAGAGCTGTAACTTAGTAGAACCAGCAGGCATTAAAGCAGAGAGCTCTTCTTCAATTTCAGCCTTTCATTCTCTTCAGAGTCTGGATATCGAGTAAGATCGAGGATCAGGATCTGACTAAACATAAAGTCATCTTGCTGAAAAGGGAAGAGAGATTGGGCACATATTATCTTATTGTAATGATACAGGGATAGTTTTCAAAATCATTACAATTTCATTTAATTGAAGGGTTTTTCTTTTTCATCTGTGAAATAAGTTGGGCAAAGGCATTACTTACTTTAGGGCAGACTCCAATTAAAACATCTGCTTTGGAATAGAATTCTTCCTTCAAAGAAATAATTATAATCTGAAACCTTTCTTCTGATTGCTGCCTAATAAAGCTTGATACCTTTTTGGAGAAAAAAAGAGATGGGTATGAAAATTGCTAGTTATATGAAATACAATATAATTAAGAAGGAAATTTATTGTATAAATTGGTAAATAAGCTGTTGGGAAATATCAAAATATCAATACAGTATAAGATGGCTGAAAATGCAACTATGTAAAAATAGACCATATATTTAAACTTTCTTTACCATATTTATGGTTTAAATGTGTTAAATTTAGAAAAGAGGAAGAATGCACCATGATAAAAAACATTTCTGAGTTACTAAAATTTCTTTATAAGGTAAACTGAGTGCTGTATAACTCCCAAATAGATAATTGACATGAAAAAAATATACTGCAAGATTACACAAAATAACATTTAACATTAAATTGGGAGCTCTCTCCAAAATAAAGCAATTCCTTCTCAGAAGGAAGAGGAACAGTGGAAGGGAGTTTGAGAGTTGAGAAGGAATGCTTCCAGGCCTCTAAAGATGAGGGGCAATCAGAGCCCACTGTGCTAGATGCTACTGGAGGAAGGCGGTATTCTTCATGCCCATCTGGCCACAGCTAACTCACCACAGACAATTCCACGCTGGATAACTCAACGCAATAAATGTTATCTGGCACTGTTTTCTTCAACATTATTTCCATGTTTGTCAATGTCTTGTAGAGAGTAAGGAAGTTGACATTGATGGAGATAGGCAGGCTAGGATACAATTCTAATCCTACTTTAGGCATGAAAGCGAGCTGGGTAACTTTGGACCAATCTCCCCCTCTCTTTCTCTCTCTCATCCCAACCCATCTCAAAGTTATTTTAATGGGCAAATAGGAGGTGGGATCCTAATATACCCCCCACTCTGAGTTCTACAAATAAATGTTGGATATAGCTACAATAAACAAAGAAATGGATGACTTACTTTTCCAATGTTTGTGTTATCTAAAGCTGCATCAACTTCATCTAAAACAAAAAATGGAGCAGGCCTAAAACTAAAAAACAAAGTAAACACAATTAAATGATTTTTAAAAAATTAGTGAGTGGTCAGTTCATGTTAATTGAAGGCTGAAGGCTGCCACCTTTATAATTCAAAAGCAAGTAAATACTTTAGCTTTGTAGAACAAAGCCTTGATTACAGTACATCGAAAGCTGACTCATAAATACTTAAAAATATGTTGTCGAACAATAGATATTGGAGGCTTATTTTTGCCTGAGTTTGGGGGGAAATGTTTCCAAGAGTTAGTCATGACTCATTATCCTCTGAACTGGATTTGGAAATCAGTGATGTGTACACAGAATCAGTTTGAAGATTGAGTGCTCCTCCAGTTATTGTCAAGTTTATCAGGTTTACAATTTGTGATATGATTTGGGAAAGGCATGTGAAATCTTTTCACTGAAATTTAAAGAAGAGAACTTCCAGATTTTTCCTGATCTCTGCCTATTGTGCCCTCTTTGAGAAAGGAATTTTCTCTGGCTCAGGTCTTGGCTAAAAATATAAATTCTCAGAATTTTCTGTCTGGCCAGCATGGAAGACAGTAAATACTTTATGGATCTCAGTGGCTACCGTATTTTTTGGAGTATAAGATGCAGCAAGGTTTTGAAGAGGCAAATTAAAAGAAGTTTTTGCACTCTGCAAACCTCCCAAAAATGGCCCGTTTTTTTTTAAAAAAAAAAGGGGGGGGGCATGAATAGGCTTGTAGTGTTCCTGGGGTGTGGTGGGCCCAAAAATGAGCAAAAAACGGGCCTTTTTTTTTAGCAAAAACGGGCCAGTTTTTTGTCACAAAAAGGGCAGGGATAGGCTTTAGGAGGCTTATAGAGTGCTCCTGGGGGTTGGATGGGCAAGATTGCTCATTTCTGCCTTTCCCACCCCCCAGGAGCACTCTGAAAGCCTCTTAGAGGCTATGCACGGCCACTTTGGTGAAGGGGGTGGGGTTTCAGGAGGCCAAAACTGCTATATTCAGTGTATAAGACGCATCCAGATTTTCAGCCTCTTTTTTGAGGGAAAAAGGTGTGTCTTATACTCCAAAAAATATGGTAATCATCACCATTTTGATGTGCCTATTTTTCCCGAGTGAGGTTTTAGAGCCAAGGTGGCGCAGTGGTTAAATGCAGCACTGCAGGCTACTGCTAGATCAGCAGGTCAGCGGTTCAAATCTCACCGGCTCAGGGTTGACTCAGCCTTCCATCCTTCCGAGGTGGGTAAAATGAGGACCCAGATTGTTGGGGGCAATATGCTGACTCTCTGTAAACCGCTTAGAGAGGCCTGAAAGGCGTATGAAGCGGTATATAAGTCCACTGCTATTGCTATTGCTATTGCTACTGCTATTTTCATATTTTGTTTTTGTTGGTCTGTGTTACTCTCTGCTGGGTCTTGCTTGCCTTAAAGATTTATTTTAATTTCATTAACCAAAGCGTGTAGGAGGAATATGGTGAACTTGTCCTCTATGATTTTTTTTTTTTAATGTTGCTTTAATTTTTTAAGGTATTTTTGTTATATATTTTTAATTTTAGGTATATCCCAAAGGTGCTTTTTCAAAAGGCAACTGGACTTCGTTTTTCCCTGAATATGTTTTGTTTCTCCTCCAAGAAGCTTCTTAGATGAAAACTGAACTGACAAAAGTCTTGGAGGAGAAGTGAGACGTCTTCAAGAAAAAACAAAGTCCAGATGCCTTTTGAAAAAGCTCCTTTGGGACTACCATGACCTGGGTGACTGAGAATCTCCATAGACAATTTTAGGTGTATTACTTTCATTGCTGGATGGATTAATTTTGTAGTAATTCTTTGGGACCATACAGTATAATTTTCATTCACATATCTATAATGGTACTATTCACGGCCTCAAAAGCATAGCTTATTTTCGATAGATATAATCTATTACATTCACACTTTTATATGTCAAGATGAAGGATATCACAATTTCTATGTTTATTCTTTTAAAAACATGTGTTTGTTAGCAATGTTTCAAGGCTAGAAACTGCGTAAATTTTTTGCTATGAAATGGGCAGCAAATAAATTCTATAAACAAACAAACATTGAATTGAAATATTAAATGTATGTGAAATATCCTTAAATGGAAAGATATTTAACATAATAAATAGATATAAAGCTGATTTTATATTTTTACAAGAGTCTTATCTCAGAAATGATGAAACATTATCTGAAATTAATCAGATATTTCACATGTTACTGGTAATAATAGCATTAACATAGCTGGAGTTATATTGTTAGTTAGCAAAGATGCTAATATGGCAGAATATCGATAAACAATATATTTGTCAAAAATATATTGATCCTTACAGACATATTATTATTGACCTGAGGATATTTAACTTTGACATTTCTTGCTAATTTTTATGTGCTTATTAAAAACAATCCTGGCTTATTTCATAGATATTTTGCAAAATTGTATAGATTAGTAATATGATCGTTAATTCTAAGTGATGACATCAATATACTGCTGTATCCAAATAACAATAGAAACTTATCTCCTATAGTTACAATCAAATTCAGAAGCTAATCTAGGCTTATATAAAGGTAAAGGTTTCCCTTGCACATATGTGCTAGTCATTCCCGACTCCAGGGGTACTGCTCATCTCCGTTTCAAAGCAGAAGAGCCAGCACTGTTCGAAGACGTCTCTGTGGTCATGTAGCCAACATGACTAAATGCTGAAGGCGCATGGAACGCTGTTACCTTCCCACCAAAGGTGGGTCCTATTTTTC